ATTCTAAGTCTAACTATATTTATCGGTTTCTGATAGCTGTAACCGCACTTGATGCTTCTTCAAAAGGCAATGACCAGTTGTTTTTGGTGTTGTTTTTATTTCTTTAATCTGTACAAATTTAGTAGATAATTGCTTTTCTTCCCACAATATATCGAGAGTAAGAAATAAGTTTATCAGAATGTTCGCTCGTTAGACAATTTGTGGTTGGCTTTACTGGTGCAGTCCAGTTTAGGAAGTCTTTTGCAATAGTTTATTGTAACACTCAGAATCAGCTCTGGCCGATATGGTTGCCTTAAAGCAACTACCTTAACCAATTCGTCTACCACACGTGTGTAGGAATACACTACAAAATCACTTAAAATCTAATAGCAAGGTCTTGTAAGACATTGACTACTTGACTATCTGATCGACTATGATCGACTATCTGACTATCAGACATAAGGATCAATTTTTTATGTCCAAAGCTTCCTGATATTAGATGTCTACCATAGATATTTATTTATTCCAGTTAAAAGTATTGTTTTTAGATTGACGGATATTTAGATTTCAGAGTTGTAGATTTCTAAACCCGAATTATGTTCTATTTTAGAGTAATTTATATAGCAAGCTATGCTATTAGTACTGGTATTTTTTTTTAACCTCATTCTGTGTAGGTAATGTATTTCCATTTGGTCATATATTTTGGAATCATGTGAGCTACAAGCATCTCAAAATCTGCAGATTGTTTGAATTTGACTTATATAAAACTTATTACCCGTCTTTTGTTTAGTAGAAAACTGTAATATAGCCTGTGTTTGTTAATGGGTACAAGCGTCATGATTCCTAGTTTTAATTTGCGTCCTAGCGTCATAATGCCAAATAAGGCGTTTAATGGTGCTGTGGATGCTATTGGTAAGCAGGCAGTTATGTATATATTTGGTAGTCTCTGTAACTAGTTTGTTAGCAGTGGGATTTTCCAGAGTTTTTTCCGTAAGTGTCTCCATATTAGCGACACATACGGTAGGAATAAATAGGGAATAAATGTAAATAGTACTTGTATATTTGTCTTAGACATTTACTGATATATTTCGTATTGTTTTACTGTATACTTATAATATTTATGTATAAGTGTTTTATTTTATAAATACTGTAGAAACAATGCTCAGAATATTTAAACAGCAATTTTGTGTGTGTCTATCAAAATATATGGATTAGTAGCTACTGATTAATCTACAATTTTATTCATTTGTATGTAAAAAGCAAAACAAGTAAGTTTTACAAAACTGTTTGAGATAAAGATTTTTAAAAGAATAAAAGTATTTTGAGTATTAACCGAGATACAAGCTAGAAGTTTATCTGACACTATATTTAGAAGTCATATAAATCACAATTTCTCTTAAATAAATCATTATTTCAGCATTTATAGTTCATTGCCTTGCCAGGTCCATAGGTAATTAGCGAACGGGTTCTAGTCGATCAATCAATAAATAAATAGTAGTGTAGATAATAATGTAGATAGTAATATAGATAGTGTAGTTTTATAGGCTTCCTATAATCTCAGTACAGTGTTTTTCACAAGGAGGCACTAGCTCTTATTAAAATATATTTATTAGGAATATATACATACCATCAGATAGTTGAGGTGTTTTAAAACCGTTAAGTTCAGTTCAATTTACACACACGTTGATTTTTGACTATAACACATCTCTAAATGAGACGCATTTTAAAAATATAACTTAAGACAAGGTTTAAATACTCATGGATATATAGGTATCTGTATGCACGTTGACCGTACTCTATAAAATGAAAATTCAGTACTATCATTGAGATGCCCAATAAAGATATCACTTTTCTGGTAGGTTTGTTGACAAATCACAGCTGATTAAAGCACCATGTTAAAAGACGATAAAAATGCCTCACATCTGCTTTAGTTTCTATTTTAGGAGTTCCTTTTTTAAAGATCTCGACCAACTTCAGGAGCATTTTACGCTTTGACAAAAGTTCAAGGTGGTTTTTATACCTCTGTTTTTATACGGTAACATAATGAGCGAATGGATAATGGATCGATTTCCAGAATCGATTTCCACACGATTTGATTCGCTACTTGAACCACAATCGGAATACCCTATAAATAAAATTTAAATAAACTCTTTATTTAAACTTTTTAAAGTTACTTAGTATAGATAATTAAAGCATGGTTTGAATATTTTTATATAAAATTTATTTAAAAATTTTTAAAAAAAGAAAACATGTGTGCACTTTTGTGAAATTTTCACCCGAAGTAGGCTTCAATGGTGGGTGCTATTGTCTTTGTTCCTGTGTGAGTTTTGTGATATGCACTTAACGAATCCACTCACGTCCCAATTGATCGTTTTTAACTTATCAAAAGCACTTAAAAATGCTTCAAACACCTTTTGCCGTACATTAAACTCCGCAATCAAGGAACATAAACAAATCTTAAATAAAAATTACCACTCCACTCTACTCCACTCCACTTCACTTCACTTCATCGTTATTTGTTCATTGCGACAGTGGGAAAATTTAAACTCGCTATTATGCGGTGGAGTTTTGAATAGGCGAACGAACAATGCCCACAGAAGTGAGGAAAAAAATTAGTCACATACGCTCGCTGCAAGCAACATTCTGTCGCAAAAGAACGCCGTAAAAATTGCAAAATTTATTGTTGTTCAATAGCGCAGCAACATCTCACACACATATAAACACATTATGACTTCAAACACATTATATGTCAACCAATTGACATATAAAAAACTCTCTCGTACATACAAACACCCACACCCAAACGGAAAGTACCCCGATTCCAAGAGTGCTTACCCCCAAATTGTGAGGGACCATACAAACGGAATTAAGTAAACAAACACATACAATTGTGTTATTGCACACTTACGATTGTAATTCCCGTTAACTTATCGTGTAATGTGTAAATTTATAGCACAAAATTCAAAAAATAACGAAAAATTGTAAATTGTGAATTGTGAATTTGTCGTTGAACGCCATTATTTATAAGCATAAAGTGTGTGGGTCCATGGAGAGTTCACTTATGTTAAGTTTAGAGTCGTAAGGTTTTTTTCTTTTTCTAAAAAATACTGCAATAACAAGCCATAAAAATTGTCTGCTCTTGGCAGGAGACTCTATAATATTTCATGGACTGTGTTTTAATTGCATTCGAGTATATAGAATATTAATATTTTTTCAATTATATACTAAAATCGTCGAAGTACATTAAGAAATATTAAACATACCTAAATAGATTTCATTCTAAAACAGAATTCATCTTTTCCACGTCTAACTTCTTCTTTAAAAACCATGTTGATTATAAGTAGAGAAAATATGATTGATTACTTGAAGTGGGGACTCATTTCAGGAGTTCAAATAACTACTTTCTTGGTTTTTTTTGAAGACGAAGAGGCAACTGAAAGGTGTGATGGACGTCGATTCAATCGACTCAAAACGCTTACCACGAAGGGGCAATTTGAGTTACGGGAACAGGAAAAAGTCGCACGGATCCAGATATGACCAATATGGTGCCTGAGCGATGACAGTGGTGCCTTGTTTGGTCAAAAAATCGCGTACAACAAGAATTTGCCATAGTAAAAATCGCTAAATGCACTTGAGGTAGTCTCACATTAACAGCTGCTATAAACAAACTATTTGACAGCGCCATCTGTCAAATCTGTCAAATTTGTACCATATGTCAAGAAATTGTGTACCAATATAACAAAAGAAAAACATTTTTGAAAAAGGTCTATTACTTAAGGAGTAGTTAACAAACAACAAAAGCAGGATACTTTTTGAGCAGAAAGTATGTGTATAAATCATATTCTCCACTGTGAAGGATAGAGTTGTCTTGAAACAGCCCCATTAGCCCGTTCATTTGTCAATTCATTGCTATCAAAACTATTGTGTGCAAGTATTTGGTGGAAAATAACTTTAAAACTAATAACAAGGCAAAGTTCAGAATATATTATACAGGTTCTAAGAAGAGTCAAAGTAGATTTAAGCAAATAAAGGAATAGATAGTCAGTTATTAAAAGCTGAATTAGTTGTGGTATACGACAATTATTAAGTCCTTCAGCTACTATCATCTGTTGCCATCTGTCATCTAACGAAAAAGGGCATATTCGATTATTTGTATCAAAATGAATTTATGTGCCTTGAGGGAAACATTCGAGAAATCTTATATCAGCTCACACAAACATTGAGCAACGAATTTGCTGTTTTATGTATGCGAAATATTTAGTGATCGGATTAAACTTGAATTGTTTGTGTTTTCATGACTTATCACTTTTTCTGCGAACTTCCGTTCACGTTTTTTACGTTCACTACGTCTATGCTTTAAGTCTACCTTAATTGACGGTTAAACAAGTGTATTCTACTCCGGTAAAACATTATGTATTAGAATATATGGCCATTTATTCATAATAATTTTGAATATAATCTGGTCTTATTCGTATGAATATAAGATGAAGACTTACTTGATATTAAAAAGTAAGTGCCAGTTGTGTCATGTATATAAGTGACTATATGGAAGCCATTGACTTCAAGCTCATCAGTTATATAAATAGTAGACATAATGATTCTAACATTTAATATTAAGTTGCATCAGCTATTAAAGAACACAAAAGATATTTAGTTTCGAATTCTTATATTATACCAAATTGTTATATTATACCAAATTCTAGCTATTTAGAATTTTTATTTAGCTAGAAACATGTAGAATAATATAGAAACAATAATATAATGTGACTGCCATCAACATATTTTTATTAATTAATCTTTAGCAAATCATAATCTGTTTATTCATGTATATATCAAAATTACATATTTAATAAGAAAAATATTAAGAGAGTCTGACTATGAGGTCCAATTCTATTCTATAAATTCTACTTGATTT